GACATGCAAAATATGCCCAGCACATAATAAATAGTTGACTGTGATATTTAAAAAAAGCAAGCTGAAGCCGATTTCGCTAATAATAATAAACTAAGAATGGCAGAATGTATTCATATGGAATGTAGACTAGGACAAACTTGTAGCTGTGTCTTTCCTCTCCCTCTAGGTGATGATACTTGAGGGCTTCAATGAGAAAGTCCTTGCATGATGAATGTGTCCTCATGAGCGGCTCTGACTCCACCCGATGCACCTGTAATCGCATTCAGAGTCGAGCAAAAACACGATCAACTAATGATTTCATAAAGCATATCAATTGAAATTTTCCAGAAAAAACCATCACCAGCAATCAGAAGGAATGAGGTTAATGGACTCTACAGAATTTCTTTGGAGGAAACTATATGCAATGTTTCTCTTGGCCATGAGGATGGTTCATAATCCTAACATTACATTTCAAGAGACATCTCTTCTTTGAATTTTCCTCCCATGACTGACCTCCCTTTCTATACAATACCGCTAATGAAACTGCATTGGGAACCCAGTTCATACCAAAGAGTCCAAGAAAGTGAGTGGAATTTACCATACTTGTCACAACTAGAAATCAAAGTTTTTCAGAAAGTCTTGTAGCTACATATTTCCCTTTTCACAGGAGGCCAACTTTGGGAAGATCCAAAATCCGAGCAAGGAATTATTTTGATAAAGGATGTTTCAATCAGCAGTTAACCTCATCATTCTTGGCTAGACAAGGGGTAGAAGCTTATACAAAAAAGTGGGAAAAGAAAGACAAAACTTACAACAAATTCCTTGGACATGAGAGGGAGGCGGACGTGCTCGATGAGCCTCACCGTATTGGTCTCCCGGTTCGGAAGGTCATGCTTCAACCACTGCATCACACACTCAAACACCTGCCATATAATTCAAGAGCAGTGTTATGAAAATACTCTGTCTAATGAGGTGGTTAAATGTGGTGGCTAAAGAATTAGCAGAGAATTTCTTAGTTTTGATAAATTAAAAGCTTAAGTATTGAGTATTACACAAGATGTTTGGGCATGCAAAATGTTCCACAGAGAGGAATTTTGGTATTTTGGGCATTTCTAATGGTCATGAGTGGTTCAACTTGAAGACCTTGGTTTATGATTATTTTACTTGTCTGATGAATTCCCCACAGCACATGAGCAAGTCAACATCCATTGTGAGAGAGGTTTTATACATCACACAAACCAAACCTTATTCCCTGAAACTGATTCTTGTGGGGGTTGGTGAGGACATTGATTTCTGTAACAGTTAACAGTAACATTAGTTCTGTAACAGTAACATTTCAAGAGTTTAGATTTTACTCAATACTTTACGACAGTTTTCTGAGTGTGTGACTACAATTAAACACAACTTCGTATCGTCCTTAGTGACGTATCAACTTCTCTAGTCAGGTTTTCGTTCCGTTATCAGGTCAACCACTAGAGATTTATAGAATAGACCCAAACTGGAACTCTACTCTTAACTTTGCCAATTGATCAGCATATTACAATTATTTAGTGACATCGAGTTTAGATTTTATTTACAAATAGAATACCTCAACATCCTGTGCTCAAGCTTTATAGGGTTTTATACCTTTAGAGATGAGATATCAAATTGAGCAAAGAAAAAAGCCCTCCAATGGGATGTTAATTGTGGCCCTATAATTTTATGTCATGAAATTCAATCTGTTCATTTTTCGAGGGAAAAAAAAGATACATTCAAACATAAGTCTTTACAGGCTGGTACTAAAAAAAAAAAAACAAACTTAGATACAAAACTTGACCAATAATCTGATTTTTTCCAATGGAATATGGTCTTATATTCTAAAACATCTCATCAGACAACTGCAAGTAACAGGTTCAGGGGAAAGGAGACCTTTTCTTCAGAGGGGATGCGAAGTCGATCGCTCGAAATGAGTTGACACACTTGCTCCACATCCAGGCTTAGGAACTCCTCCTCATCACAGACTTCCCTACAGAATAGCAATTTTAAAAATTATAATAAAGCAAGCTAATTGAGTTTTAGGATGACAGATCAGGTAATAACAACTTATATTCTAGGGAACAGGTCATTGAGCCCAATATGGTAACTGGGAAAGAAAAACTCACGAAAAATGAGTCTCTGCAAAGGCCTCAGCAAGGTGAAAGAGTTCACTGCATGCATGTAGATCAGCAAAGGCCCTGATTCCAAGGCAGTTTGAAGGATGGAGCTGGGAAGCCAGGAAATCAGAGCATGCGTTGCGAACATCGGGAAGCTGAAGGAGATTTGCAGCTGGCAGGAGGGTCTATCAACAACATTGGAAGAAGAAATTTTATCAGTGAACAAGATTGCAAAAACATGATCATGAACTTTCTATCGTTAAATGTTTAATATCCTTCTTGAACAGATGACATGGCATAACTTAATTTAGTTTATCTAAAAGTATGAGTTACCACAAGAGGTGACAGTAAAGGAGATGAGAACTGGCATTGAATGGGATTCATAATTGTTTACATGAAGTTAGGACTATCTCACCCTAATTGCAGCCAATTTTCCCACCCATCCATTGCCACAGCCTCTCAATTTTTATCTTTCAGGGGGTTACTGCCACTCATTTCAAAGATTAATATTTAATATGGGATTAAAGTGTGCAGGTTTTCTTACCCTTATGACTATTATTCATTCACCTGATTTTTCAGATTCTCATTCAGCCATCATGAAGGAGATTTAATACAATTTTTGGTACCAGGTAGACCATGCCCTCTATGGCAAAGCAAAAATAAAAACTCCAACATCTACGAATAATAAACTTGCCTGGACATTGTCTTCTGTGACGTGGATCTTTGAGGAGTAGATGTAGTCAACCAGAAGTTCCAATGCACTCCCTTCAACCTCTCTGATGGTAACCCGATCTTGACTTCGCTCCTCAAAGCCATTGAACATGGCATAAAAATATGGACTGCAAGCTGCCAAAACCATCTTGTGTGCAGGGATCTTTACATCATCTGCTTCCAGGATCACATCACAGAGTAACTTCTCTCTAAATATGGAAAGAACATCAATTTTGTAGTTTCCCCCATGCATATTTGGGGAGAAGCAGAAAGACTAAGCCCATTCAAAGGATAAACAAACTCACTTTCTCATGAGATTCATGGTTTCAAATGCCTTGGGGGCATGTTGTGCATTGAAATATGGGGACTTTTCCCTAGTGAATGGTCTGGCTCCTGGCTGCTTCTGGGAACTCTCATCCAAGGAGCTCTGAGACACGTTTCGGAGTAGCAATCGCCTATTGAAGAAATATATTACAGTAAATGAAGGAGAATGAGGCAAAGCAAAGTGGAATTTGAGCTAAAGTAATGACATTACACCAAGACCAGAATTGTAATGCAATAGTCCAGGAAACAATTTTTCAATGCCATACATTTGTAGTGCTGACAAAATGACAAGTTGAATTATTGCTGACTTTTATGAAATATTAATGGCCTAGGACTCTCTTGAAGGCATGGCCTTCACAGAAATACTCCTCCTTTGATGAAGCATCTATGGAAACACTAATTTATTACAATTATGCAAATCAGCAGAATTGGCAAGGCAAGAATTACTTCATTTGGGAAGAACTAGGATCTTTAATGATTCAAAAGGAAGACTTTATGAAACTAAAATGGAATTAATCCAGATGATTTCACTTTCATAACATGAGCAGGATCATTCAAACTCTTTGAAAGATGAGCTCACCCAGGGCTTCCACTAACAGAAGTCCGTGAAAGGGAGTTGACAGCAGAAGCTTCCCCACGGGAAGCCTCAGTCCGGGAATTCATGTCCGATGAGCTCATGCTGGGATCGTCAGATAGGGTGGTGCTAAAGTGGAAGCTACACTTGTGGCAAGAATTTAGATCTGCTGAATATGACTGCAGGTATCCACAGACTCTATGGTGAGGCCATATACCCACTTATGCTCTTCTGAAGCCTGCTGTTCTTGAAATGGGCTTGGGATTATAGGCCTAGTTCCTTGAAGCTATACTGCAGGAGGCCTTCTACTCGTGTCACCTCATCTATATGGTACAGTAGCACAATTCAACCTCTATCTTCTGAAGCCTGCTGTTCTTGAAATGGGCTTGGGATTATAGGCCTAGTTCCTTGAAGCTATACTGCAGGAGGCCTTCTACTCGTGTCACCTCATCTATATGGTACAGTAGCACAATTCAACCTCTAAAAGTTTTTATGAAGAACTAGAATATGCCCGGCAGGGGGGTGTGTACTTTCAAGGGTCATTGTTTTGCCATGGATATAAAAGTCGAGCTCTCTTCATAGCTAATAATAGCATTATGTAGTTTAATGTACTTCATTATGAGTAAAATGCCTCAGAATCAAATTAATGTGAGCTACCTCTGCAAAAAAAAATTCATAAAATAAAGCCACACTGACAGTTTTTACCAAAAAAAAGTAGCAAAAAGCAATCAGGGACCCACAATACACACTTAAACATCATGAGGCACCTTTTCCAAAAAGTGGGCAGAGGTGTTGAAAAACTTCAATGAGGAAAGACCAAGGCTTTTGAAGGATATGACAACTGGCACCTCAAACCAACGAAGTGAGAAAAGAAAGGAAAAAAAGATGGGGAGATGCATAAAAGACAGAGGGAGAACATGAACTGAATAAGAGGAAGATAAGATTGATATGGTATATGAAGCTGCTCATGTTTTCTTCTTAGTTGATTCTCCAAATAATTATGTGAATTTTGAGAAGTTGGTGAGTGACTTATAATCCCAACCAAAATTATAAGAAAAACTGGGGAAACATTTAGAGTTGACTTACATCATTAATGCCTGTGAGTGCAAATACACAACATGCAGAATGGAATGAATGACAGACTAAATGCGATGGGAAGGGGAGGTTTCATTGAAGCATGTTGAATGAAAAAAAGTTGAAGGGCTGCCAAGCTCCTCTATCATTTCTACTGTATTTCGTGGGGAGAGGATGTCCCTCATTAGAGAATAGACAAGGCAATGGAGTCGCTGATAAAGGAGATATCAATGACTTTCACACTTAACCACTCTGAGGTTCTAACAGGAAATTCTGAATCTCGCCAAAAACGGAGCAACGTCACTTGTGAACTAAAGCAGTTTATGCCTCAACGACACTGACTGCAAGCGAGCAGAAGCAATCACGCGGGGCCTAGCCAAGCCTACACCAAACGTTAAGCCTGTCAAGGACATTTGGCCTCGTCAAGGGGGATGTACCCAGCCTAAGATAAGCCTTCCATGAATACTCTACATGCCTAGCCCTAAGCAAGCGCAGATCAGTGAAGCCCTACCAAAGCACAGAATATCGATAATGCATGGCCTCTCGTCAGCAATAAAGGAGAGCAGGGCGCGCGAAGACCTCTAAACTCAACAAGTAAACATCGTGAACAACGTAAATGGACCAGCTGCATCGAAGGAGCCAGCCCTGTGGCTTGTGGATTAGGGACCTCATCGGTCGGAATCTTCGTCGGTCCTTCTCTGTCATCCCGCAATTTATCAGGAGTCTCCCGCGGGACTCTTTTCCACCTGTAGCACCCTCTCAGCAAGTCCTTTCAAGTGGAACACCCTCTCGGGAAGACACCTCTCCACTCAAAATAAGAATCCGCACAATATTACAATAATCTGACTCATCCTTTAATCTCAGTTCGACCGAATAATCAGCCTCGTACAGACCCCGTTCGCGATGCCTTGTCATAGGAATTGACCCGACCACAACTCTATGACATGACGGCTCCCATTCCGCCTGAGTATGACTCACGTGGTTTTCTCACTGTCAGGACAAGGTCGACAAAACTATTATGAATTGCAAATGAACCCATACCACGTTTAATATTATGCATGCCCGAGTCGAGGGGATATCTTCATGAAAGAAGTGACAGACTTATGAGCCTATATTAACGGTGGTGTGGATTCATTTCCATATTGTTAACGTGGGATTAAAAGATGACCGAAGGGAGCCCTCAAGCTCTAAGAGCAAATCAAGATCCCGATCCCTCATCGAAACCACTTGGGTCATTCTCCGAGGCATTTCGGTCCTTGAAAGAGTCCAAATACTACGAAGAGCCAGCCAAGCCATCGGATGAAGCTAACTCCGGGCCTACCCCTTCGGCAGCGACTCACGCTGCCAGCCTGAGCAGAACTTCCGCCAGCGCTGTTGTCGTCAACAACCGCCAGGTCCATTAGCAATTGATAACTATCTAAGATTTCTGATGAGTTATTTTACGTAGAGAATCACATTAAATGCTAATAAATGTTCAGAAGAGTGAAAATGTGTAGGATTTTCTTTAATACATCCACAGGAAAATATCCTATAGAATTTATTCTTAAAGGAAATCAATCGGTAGCTGAGGCTTGTGGTTTATCATGTGGTTTTTGTATATAGGAAGGAGATTTCATGGAACATGTGCTTTATATTTCAGGAAGACTTAGGAGTGCTGGTGTGAAACCAGTCATTAGTACATCTCCCAAGTCTAGGTCCAGCAACAGATATTTACTATGCATTGGAGCTTGCTGTGACAAAATATGAGCATATCACAAAATCGTTCTCATACCTGCCTAAAACATGCCTTTTTCCCTAAAGGGCATTTATTAGGTCTTCATCTAAGCCAGGGTGTATTCTTTGGGCTTTGCTAGGCCTATGAGGTGATATTTCCATAAGTCAGCATGTTCAGCAGAAACAAAGGACAATACCTGATACATTTAATACCCTGAGATAAGGTGCTGCTTCTTTCTCAGGATTCTTCCCTACATTTTTTTCCAAGAAGTGGCCTCCAATCTTGCAGAGATGCTTGAGCCTAGGCCCAAATTTGTTTCATCTTGATATTTTTATGCATGAATAATCTGATCCTCCAGTTTCTGAGAAGTCTAAATGTCTCCTTCTAACCAAGTCTCATATGTTTATTTGTTCTGTGCATTTCTGCTAAGAAATTTTATTAAAAAGCATAAATCAACTCATGCTTGTATGTGTATGCAGAGGGGAAACCCATTGCTGAAGTTCATCCGGAGTGTGCCATGGGAGTACGGGGACGTCGTTCCGGACTACGTGATGGGAACGACCTCGTGCGCCCTGTTCCTCAGTCTCCGTTACCATAACCTCAACCCAGATTACATCCATGATCGACTGAAAGAGTTGGGGAGGCAATTTGCTCTGCGTGTTCTCTTGGTCCAGGTAGAAGGAATCATTGAATTTGTGAATGAATCGAAAAAGCAAGTGAAATGTACAACACCTTCCTAAAGGTTTTCTCCAATTTTCACTGCAGATATATAAAGAAGGTACTCTATGTTCAAGGAAAAAATAAATTTAAGAGCCTCAGGCATCTTAAAATCTTTCAATGAAGATGACTGATATTATGGAAAGCTCTAAAGGAACTACAATAATGAAGGAAAAAATTTAAATTATAAATGGCAATAAATCAACCCAGGCAATAAAGGGTGCACCTGAATTGGCTGGGTTGGTTAATTTCAGGTTCCATGAAAAGGCCTTAAACTGATATCTGCTGGTCTTCCATCATCATTTCTTTCTTTCCAATCCTTTTGGCATATGTTTCTCTTCTCTTTAACTCTCCCCAAGATTTTGTCATTTCAGATGTTTTTGATTTCATGAAAGGAAATGGTATACAAAATCAAATTCAAATCAGTCAAACATTTTTTATTATTTCAGTCAGAGCTGGCTCATAATGTTCTTGGATTCTGCTAGGAACTGCAGAAATGGAAATCTTGCTTGTGGAGCAAACTATGCACAAAATGATTTTTTATTTATTTGAATTCTGTTGCTGAATTGAGTGTTTAGGTATGATGGACGAATCATGGCTTTTAATATTGTTTTGATTTCTACTCATTGTCGTTTATCAATTGTTGATCGATTCAAAGAAATAGATGTTTTACTTCTCCATTAACTGAGAATTAATTAAGAGATTTACACCATATGGAGGATGGCATACCTCATATGGTCTCAACAAAGTTTTTTATTTTCCTGAAGGGAATGTTTAAAAAAATAATAACATGATGGATGAACATGGATGTTTCAACAAAAAATTCAAATATATCTTTTGGTCTTTCCTGAGGTTGATATCAAAGACCCACACCATAGTTTGAAGCATCTGACCCAGATTTGCCTGCGTGCTGATATGACCCTGATGTTGGCCTGGTCTGCAGAGGAAGCAGGGAGAATCCTGGAGACCTACAAAGCCTTTGAGCACAAACCTCCTGATCTCATCATGGAGAAACAAGACAATAATCCCCTCTCCAGGGTGAGCAAGAGTCCAGAATGCACGTCCTATATTGCTTTGAAGTAGCAATACATGGCAAAAATTTTTCCAAGGGATAATCAAAGTTGCTCTAGAGTGGGATAATTCTTCCTTTGACTCATTCCTTAATTATTCATGCTCTGGCATGCATTGCAAGAGAGCATTCTCTAGGGACATTTACATTTTGTTTTGTTAATTATTGAGTGTTGATTGAGGAGTTCTGAGGGAAAGAGACACAATTGGCAAAATCCCTTTCCTCCTTATCCATCCCAAGAATGCTATGAGCTACTGAAGTAAGATTGTGTGATTCAAGAGTAGTTGAAATGTGTCTACAACATGGAGGAAGCAATTTATCTATAGTTCACTATCATTCCATGCACTCTCAATGACTTTTTATCTTTTTTACTTGAGCCCTTTTCCCAGAGGGCCTTTTCAATTTTTGAATACATATTATGTCATTTAAAAAAATTTTATATAATAAGAATTGAGAAATGTCTAAATTTTGAGACATTGTTAATTTTGTGTGCATTTATGTCTATTTATGATATTGCTTGCAAAAAATGTTTGACCTTTCCATCCTGGTATTCACAAAGCATCATCATTTATAAACATGAAGTAAAGAACTTCTTATTGAAAATATGTAATGTCGTAGGTGGTGGATGCGCTGGCGACAGTGCGGTCGGTGAATCGCACTGATGCAATGACCCTCTTGTCCACTTTTGGATCCCTGGAGAAAATCTTGAAGGCTAGTGCAGATGAGATTGCCCTCTGCCCTGGCTTTGGCCCCCAAAAGGCATCTCGACTCCACCAGGCTCTCCATATGCCGTTCAAGCGAAAAACATAACATTAACCTTTAGCTTATTGGGGTGGGGGGGGGGGGTTTAATGAATTATTTCATTAGCTGTTTGAACTCATTTGGTCCAAAACATTCCAATAAAACAGCTATTGAAAAGCAATTGAAATGTATTGTTTGCTATCTGCATTTCCTTCTTCTTGCAGCAAAACATTGGCTACAAGATTATTTCACTTATTGAATTTGTGGTTTTGCTGTATGGGCTTGAATATTGTAGCAATTTCTTCAGCAATACTGTGAATAGACCTATTTGTGCTCATGAGGTGCCTGCAGAGGCTCACGTTGATTCACATCTGATGTGTGGTGATCTTACTGAGCAAGCTGCAAATCTCACTTAGGAAGTTGGTCATAAGGTGCATGACTCTTTAAATGAACTAAGAACCCCTTGAGTCCCACAAGCAAGTCAAAAGGAAATTAAGGAGTGGAATAGGAGAAGCACGGAGACAGACCGAAGCGTGCAACTTCCCACGAGTGGGACTCATTTATCGCCTGCTCGGCATGGTATTCCGCTCGAGTCGCTCTATTGATCTTGAACCATCTTGGATCAGTTGATGCCAGACATCTGTCCAGCTTTTTAGGTCGGCATGAATTCAGCAAGTCATCAGCTCGAATGGAATGTTTCAAGTCTCACCCAGCATAGCAGTACCAGAGTAGAATTTTTGTTCCGATGCACAATCTGTCCGGTGACGATTCTCATCGTCGAAGATCAGAATCTCTTTCTCTTCTCAAGCGTTTCTTGTCACATCGAGATGGGGCCGGTGTTGCACCCGTACCCTTGAGTCCCAACGAGTAACTCTCGTTGCGTTCAAACAGTTCACAGAACTCATATTCCGTCTGGGTGAGGTGCTTGAGATCGAAAACAGGAAGTACTTCTCAGTACTACCCGTACTAGGAACTGTTCTTGAGACCGCTACAAGTCATACTCGGAACGAGACTGGTAATTTGTCAAAATAAATTATTCTCTTCTGCTTGTGGGAACCGGATTAAATGGAGCAAGCCTCTGTAGCAATAACCGAGTGGAGTTGTTGCAAACCGAGTTGGGAATCTTGCATTTTATGGCGTTTGACCGAGTTTTGGGAGACTTCGAATGATTGGGACTCGAAGAGTTTTGGAACAAGGCCCTCGCGGATTTATTTAATAAGTTCTTCATGGAAATTCCTGCTCGAGAACGTGCGAGGAAGGGCCACATTGAACATCAAAATTCGATATTTAGAACAACCGATGGAACTCACATGAACAATCTGGCCAAGAACGGCATTAGGGACACATCCATTGCACAGTCGAAGCGAGGAGGGAGGGGGGAAGGGGCCGCGCGAAGTGAATCGAATCAAGTGGACGAGGCGCCCAGGATGGAGCTACTACAAGTATTAGGACTGCTACTCTGTGACTACTAATATAGGAATGCTACTCTACCTCTCTAAGCATCCAGAAAAACCTCTCTCCCCCCTACACTCTCACCAGAAAGGGTTTGTGTTTCGTCCCCCTAAGGATTTATACCTGAAAAAAGAATTGATGCAGCGTAAAACCAATGGTGAAGGATTTTTACCCGTTATGAATCCCTCACCTTGTAAAAATCATCGGAAGGTTTACATGCATCTCAAAGGGTTCATCAAAAAAAACCTTCGCTATGGAATTGGTTTTGTCTATAACCCCTTTGGATAGATATTTAGCGTCTTAAAAGGGGTTAATCTTTTATCCTGAAAAAGAGGACCAATACTCGGCCGGTTTTTATGAAACCTTCCTGCAGAAGACATGTATTAATACATATCCAAAAAAGAATGCATAGAAATCCACAGGGCACGCTCTTTACCTCTCGCACCTCCCCCTCCGACTCCGTCGCCTTCAGTCGCCGACGGGAAGGTGCATCCGACGGGAAGGGCATCCGACGGGAAGGGCATCCGACGGGAAGGGCATCCGACGGGAAGGGCATCCGACGGGAAGGGCATCCGACGGGAAGGGCATCGACGGGAAGGGCATCCGATGACCTAGCGTCTCAGTTTTGTGCCGGTTCGAGCCGTGGAAGTTTCTGAGACGGGAGCCCGTCTACGTACAGCAGCTGTGACGTTGCTCGGAGATTCACGTACGGCACAAATCCCCCTCTCGGAAAAATATGAATCCCTTCAGGAGAGGTTGGTTATAAATCCCATTAGGGATGGATATTTATCCACTCAGGAGCGATTCGGCGTGAATCCCTTCAGAGATAAATGTGAATCCCTTAAATGATTGGGTGAAAATCGCTCTGGGGCAGATGGACGGATAAATATGGAACCTCCCGGCTACAAATTTATCCCTCTTCCAAGGTTTCTTATGAAACCGAAGGAAGGGATTCGTGCAAAGCCAACAAGGATAAACACGAAATGCATGAAAAGGTTATTTGTGAAACCCTTCCCAGAGGTTTCATACAAACCTTCCCTCGGATTCACACGAGGCAGGTACAAATCCCGAAACGGTTAAATCGCAAGGTCTTTCAGCTGACAGTGAGTCAGCGACCGTCCAACGTCGTCCTGCGATTACAGCTTGGCCGACCCACGAAGGGATCCACGCTCCTGAATGGATTCATGATCCACTGCACGATCCTGCATAATCGCTCCTGAGCGGAATCATATTCATCCCAAAAGGGATTTATAACCAACCCCTCCTGAAGGGATAAATCTTCATCAGAGAAGGGGATCTGCGAGAATCTCCGAGCATCGCCACAGCCGCTGAACGCATAGGACTTCCCGTCTCGGAAACTTCCGCGGCTTCGAACCGGCACGAAACAGACACGCTAGGTCATCGGATGCACTTCCCATCGGATGCCCTTCCCATTGGATGCCCTTCCCATCAGATGCCCTTCCCATCGAATGCCCTTCCCGCCAGCGACTGAAGGCGACGGACAAGAGCCGGAGAGGGAGGTGCGAGAGAGGAGGAGGTGCGAGCGAGGAGGAGGTGCGAGCGTGCCCACAGAGAGCCAAAAAATAACCGTGGATTTTTCTCATTCTTTCTCGATATTTACATATCCTCTGCAGAAGGGTTTCACGAGAACCGGCCGAGCATCGATCTTCTTTTTCGGGATCAAAGATTAACTTTTAATGCGTCAAATCCAAAAGGGGTTATAGGCAAAACCAGTTCCAACCCTTTGAGAGACATCCGAGGATTTTATAACGGGTATAAATCCGTCACCAGGGGTTTTATGCAGCATCAATCCTTTTTTTTTTCAGGTTTATATTCCTTCGGAGGATTATACACCAGGCTGGTGGGTGGAACGTGGCGAAGGGAGCCGAAGAAAATCGTGATCGCAGAATCTTTTCAAATTTTCTCTTTGCAGTTCCGTCATCTCCGATGTCACGTTCGATGTTAGCCGGGGCTGGGTGGCAACAGAAAAATTCATGGATGAATTAGTAAATAAAAATTGAATCGTTTTGAACGAGACTCACGCGTATTCAAAAACCATGAGGCGTTTCAACTGACAGCCTAAAAAGCGCTTTTCGCAGTCGCCTCTCCTCGAAGCCCCGAAGATTTCCCGACGGGATGCCCGACCAGACCGAGCTCGATTCCCCGAAATCCGTGTTCCTCGGATGATCTGCGCCCCCACACCACACACCACACACCACACACCACACGCCCCACGCCCCACGCCACACGCCACACGCCCCAGCGATCCTCAGAAGGAAAACTTTGACGGTCGCCAGTCGTCGACCGACCGTCGCAGAGGAGTATGCTCCGGGACCGGTCGCCGTTCGCCTCCGCGCTCTCGTCCTTCACGCCGCCTCGAGGTGAGTGCGTGCATCGGTCTGCCGTTCCCAACATGGCGGTCGGTGCAACCGTAAGAGTTTCGGTCGCAAAATGTTGCCCGTAGGTATCAAACTTGTTCAGCGTGAAACATCTCTCTAAAATAGGCTCTCAGGAACAATGGTTTTCCTTTAGTCAGGAGAAACTCGCTCTTTTATTTATTTATTTATTTATATTTTTTTGGGGGGAAGGCACCATTTTTCCGCTCATCTCCGTGCTCTACTGCCCAGTACACAGTATTGCAGTAATTTGGAAGAAAAGAAATCCCTATAAATTGAGGAATGTCCCCTGCCATAAATGGTTATGCATCCCGTCGCGCAGACATCGAAGGCAAGAAGCGACCAGCCCGGAGTGAACGAGGCCTCCAGGACAAAACGAAACAACCAAGTCCTCAACCCCTCCGAAAAAGATCGATTGGAATGGAACACTTAATGGAACACTTAATGGAACATCTTAATGGAACATCTTAATGGAACACGCGCGATGCTCCGCCTTGAACAGAGCCATCGCAAGGAGACGAAAGAGATGGTGGCTTTACGATGCGTCGATGAACCTGGCTCGTCTGGCTCGTCTGGCTCGTCTGGATCGTCTGGCTCGTCTGGATCGTCTGGCTCGTCTGGCTCGTCTGGATCGTCTGGCTACCGTCTGCTGCTGTATGAGATGGTCACCGAGGTCCATTTCTCGATTAGCATTGAAAGTTCTATGAGTTTTTCTCCTCTGCGGTCTGCCCCCCCCCCTCCCCCCACGTCTCCCTCCCCTCCCCCCCCCCTTCCTGGATCCGCCACTGTCTTCACATCGCTTACGAGCGTAAGGTGGAAGACAGATCGTGGATGGTATGCCTAAAAAGAGGCATATGGAGAATTGGGTTGAAAAATTTGTTGTGTTTTCAAAACGTGAAAAACCAATAAGATTCCTTCGGGAATAATATAGGAAACCTGTAGGAAACCTCTAGGACACTACAGGTTTCTCATAAGATCCCACATAATCCTATAGGAAACCATCAAGATCCCACAAGATACCCACAGGATCACGTAGGAAACCCGTGGGATATTACAGGACTCTACGGAGTCACTGATTTCCCATAGGAATCCTACAGCTTTTTCGTTTTCCGATCGCTTCTCGGAAGACCCTTATTTTGCGCCACTGCTTGAAGCGGACGCTTCTCGGAAAGGCTTTCGGCGAAACGGCCGGAAATTATGCCGTAAATTGGTGGAGCGTAGGAATCCTCGCTCGCTTACGAGTGCTTTTATTAT